TTACTGATACGCTATTAGAGAGAACCCGAAAATTTGTACTATCCATTAGTGATAAATAAAGCATATATTGTTCCTTATACAGAGACAACTACAGCTGTTGTTAAACGTGGCCGGGAGTGTTTATGAGTTCATCCGTGGGGGCTATTTATGTATAGTATGATTTGACAAACGAGAAGGATGCGAACATATAGACAGACTGACAAGAGATATCGGAAGTCAAAAAAGTCGGAAGAGACTAAGAATAATCATACCAACTGAGCTCAGTGATATTGGGAACTCGTAAAAAATTGAATCAGAGCTATAATGGAAGACGGTAATACGAAGGCCGCTGCTACAAGCTACAATGAAAGTCAGGGATAGGAATACGATTAAGATATATACATACATATGTAAATATTTTCGAAATATCCCATAACAATATGATAATATTTTCCATATGTATGTATATCCCAGGATAATAATATAGCTGAAATAAAAAGTATACATATATGATAATGGATTTCAGCAATAAAAGTGATCTAAGAGCTGACCTTCTTGTTTTTTTTTTTTTTTGTTTTTTTTTTCAAATTTCCCATTCTTTGGCATCGCACATTGCAACATGAACTAGATTTGAAAGATTGTCTGTGATTTCAAGTATTTACAATTTGGATTTCAGCTGAGATTAAAGCACTTTTAAAGCTCTAAATGACATAACAGAAACACGCTTCATTTGACAGTGACTTCCGATTGTGAAAGACATTACATTTCCAGAAAAGTATCATTAAATTGCTCATGGCCAATTGGAGACCAGATGTTCAGGGGGGCAATTTGTAGGGCTCAAACACAACTCACATGTACTCCTTGGGCACGTGCTGTAGCTCTGGCACGTACTGCTTGATATACTGGCCGTTGGGATCGAGGCGCTTGGCCAGCGCCACAGGGCAGGTGACGAGGGAGGAGTCGAGCAGTCGCTCGAATGCCGAGCTGGATACCCACATCCAGTTGCCCGCGCAGACCGACCAATCGGCGTCCAGCAGATACTTGAGGAAGTGCTGCAGGCCGAACTCCCAGTTCTGCCAGAGGCCGCCGCGAGTGAGGAAGGTGGCCACCGTGTTGCGGAGCGTGTGGTGCAGCCAGCCCTCGGCCAGCAGCTGCCGCATGGCGCTGTCGATCAGCGGGAAGCCCGTCTGGCCGAGGCGCCAGCGCTGCAGTTGTTCGGCATCGGGCTTCGCCCAGGGTATGCTGAGGCAGATCTCGTTGCCCTCCATGCGGTCGTACTGCGGATTGTTCACCGACATCGTGTAGAAATACTCACGCCATATCAGCTGTCCGGTAATGTGGGCGCCGCCCGACATTTGGACGCCCCGGACGCAGGCGCGCAGCTGCACGTTCTTGAAGAGGTCGTGCATGCACCAGTAGAACCTGCGCACGGACAGGCAGCCAAAGCGCAAGTGGGCGCTCATCGACTTGGGCGTATCCAGAATGTTGGGCATGGCCTGGTTGGGCAGATAGTAGCCACGCTCGAAGGCGTGCTGCTCCACCTTGAGCCGCTCACCCAGCAGCAGCAGCGCCTGCGTCTCGCCACCGACCCAGTTGATTTTGGCCAGGTAGCCCATGTTGTCGCTGTATACATTGAAGTGTTCCGGCGTGGGGGTCATCTCAAAGCAGCCAATGTCATGGCGCAGCTCCGGGGACAGCTGAACAAACTTGACGCCCCCAAAGTGCGGATCGCGCACCGGCCTTGGCGGCAGGCCGATAATCTGCACCGTGTGCTGCAGGTCGAGCTGTGATTAGCCAGACAGCAGTTGCTAGTGGAGCTGCAGTTACTTACTAGGAACATCTGGTAGGTCAGGGGGGCGATGCCGCCGTTCGTGTCGATCACAGTGCGTGGATCCCATAGTGTGTGTGACACCTTCTCCACGTACTCGATGCCCAGCTCGCGGCAGAGGCTTTTGGTTGCTTCGTCCCGCTCGTTCCAGATGGGCTCGCAGTCCTGCTCCACGCAGATCTTGTGCAGGCCCACGTGCTCATGCAGACGCCGAAAGATGTGCACTGGCTGGCCCTCGCAAATGAGCAAACCGCCGCGTCCTTCCGTCGCCTCCTGCAACTGCCTGTCGATGTCCTGCAGCGAGTCTAGCAAGAAGCGCATGCGATTGTATCCAACATTTTTTGTGCCTAGATTAGGAAAAACAAATAAATTTGTAATTGCTCCAATGGGAAATATATATTTTTTTAAATATATATATATTTTTTAATTTTGTACTTTCTACTTTTAATTTTCCAAAAGGTTATAATATATTAATCTATGATACATGATTTAATCTAAAAAATAAAAAATAAATAATCAAGTACAAGTAATAATAAGATTGCTTTTTACCTATATTCCTAATAATAATCAGAGATAAAAACAATTAGTTACTTAGTTTTAAGTTTTCCAATAACCGTTTTCGGCCCAACTGTACGTATTCAATAAAAAAAATATTTTTTACATATGGCTGGCGATACACGCGCTGCTTATACATATGTACATATGTATATGCATATAAAAAGAAGTATGTGTGTGTATATATGTTATATATCTACATACATATATATTACTATTAAAGTCTCTCTGAGAAGCTAATTGCCTGCAATCGCAATGGTTTCTCACTTCCACCTCTGCCTCTAACTATCTGCCTCGCTCTGGCCCTCTCGTTCTATCTCTCCATCTCTCTCTCTCTATTTATCTCTCTCTCTTTATCTCTCTCTCTCTCTCTCTCTCTCTCCCGCTCTGTTTCTCTGTTTCTCGCGTAGTAGAACGCATTGTTTTGTTTACGGTTGATTGGACCTAAGCACGAGTAGAGTCGCCTCGTGCCTCCCTCTCTGGCCATGGAAACATGATGTGCTTGCATCGCTTGCTCGAGCGATCCACTAAATATTTGGTAATCAAAAGTCGCTGAATTGCGCTATTATCTCATAGTGCAGAGAGGGAGCCGGCGAACGTAATCGTAGAACTCAGTCCAACCAGATGGATGACAGCGTCAGCTGCAACTAGCTGCAACTGCTTGACTTGACTTACCCGCGCTCTCGCCATCGAATATGAAAATGGGTATCAGGGCGACGCCTTGATCTTTGTTGGACAGCGCGGCCAGCATCGCTGGATTATCGTGAAGCCGGAGACCATGGCGAAACCAAATCACATTCGCACCGCGCCGAGCCATGCTGCAGATCTCTGAGTGCGGTTCAGTCTCGTTTTCGTCTCTCAGTTTTCCAATTAGTTGTTGGCTTGCTCCGTCGACGAGATGCGCTCGCGTTGACGTTCGATTTGCGAATGGAGCAACTGCGACGACGTGGACAGCGTTTACGACTGACTG